CTGTCACGCGTGTCCGAGGAGGTGCTGTCACGCGTGTCCGAGGAGGTGCTGTCACGCGTGTCCGAGGAGGTGCTGTCACGCGTGTCCGAGGAGGTGCTGTCACGCGTGTCCGAGGAGGTGCTGTCACGCGTGTCCGAGGAGGTGCTGTCACGCGTGTCCGAGGAGGTGCTGTCACGCGTGTCCGAGGAGGTGCTGTCACGCGTGTCCGAGGAGGTGCTGTCACGCGTGTCCGAGGAGGTGCTGTCACGCGTGTCCGAGGAGGTGCTGTCACGCGTGTCCGAGGAGGTGCTGTCACGCGTGTCCGAGGAGGTGCTGTCACGCGTGTCCGAGGAGGTGCTGTCACGCGTGTCCGAGGAGGTGCTGTCACGCGTGTCCGAGGAGGTGCTGTCACGCGTGTCCGAGGAGGTGCTGTCACGCGTGTCCGAGGAGGTGCTGTCACGCGTGTCCGAGGAGGTGCTGTCACGCGTGTCCGAGGAGGTGCTGTCACGCGTGTCCGAGGAGGTGCTGTCACGCGTGTCCGAGGAGGTGCTGTCACGCTTGGCACCCACTTCCCTGTCACGCGTCCACTCACCTCCTCCCTCCTTACCCTTCTGCGTGCAGCATAGCAGTCCGCGCCATCAGAGCGCTCACTCCTTCCCTCTCCCCTGCTCATCTCCTCTCCCCATCCCCACTCCTCTCCCTCTGGTTTCAGCGTGGTGGCGCGTTGATCAAGAAGTGGGGTCAGCCGGGTCGCGGGTGGACGCTACCAGGGCGCTCACCCTCCCTCTCTACCCCTTCAACTCTTCCCCCACCCTCTGGCTACAGCGTGGTGGCGCCTTGATCAAGAAGTGGGGGCGCTCGTCAGCTGCCTCAACGGCCGTGTCGCTGGTGGACGCCATCAGGGCGCTCACCATCCCCTCCTCCCTCCCCCTTTACTCATCCCCTGTCCCACTTGTTACAGCGTGGTGGCGCGCTGATCAAGAAGTGGGGGCGCTCCTCAGCAGCGTCAACAGCTGTGTCGCTGGTGGACGCCATCAGGGCGCTCACCACGCCCACGCCTGAGGGCGACTGGTTCTCAACGGGCGTGTACACCAAGGGGAACACCTATGGCATCGATGATGACCTCATCTTCAGCCTGCCCTGCCGCTCCAAGGTGCGATGACTGTGGTGGCTGTGGTGGCTGTGGTGGCTGTGGTGGCTGTGGTGGCTGAGGTGGCTGAGGTGGCTGAGGTGGCTGAGGCAAGGAGAGTGAGGCGAAAGGAACAAGGTTGGAGGCGAGGTTGGAGGTGAGGCAGCGGGGCAGCGGGTGAGTGTTGTGAGGTATGTGAGGTGAGGGAGGCGAGCAGGTGACGGCCTGCGTGGCACACCACCATCCCCACTGCTGCATCGGATGGCCGGTCCTGCTCGGCCACTGCTGCATCGGATGGCCGGTCCTGCTCGGCCACTGCTGCATCGGATGGCCGGTCCTGCTCACGGGTGTGCTCTCAGGGGCAGAGGAGCACGCCCCATCATGCCTCTCTTGCCTCCTGTTTTCTTCTCCTGTTTTCGTCTCAGGGGGGAGCAAGCTGGAAACAGCGATGGCGACCCAGGCAGCTGCAATGCAGGCGGCCTGTCGTCCGCTTATTCCCATTCTGCACGTCACTTCACTCCGATTTCCCTCCTCCTTTTTCCCCCTACCATGCCTTCCTCCCCACCTTCCCCTGCACGCCATTCCCCGTGTGTGGCTGGCAGGGCGACGGGGACTACGAGGTGGTGTCTGGTCTCATAGTGGACGATTACCTGCGTGCTCGCATCAACAAGGTGAGGGGGGAGGGGGGTTGGGGGAGGGGAAGGGGGAGGAGGAGGGGGAGGGGAGGGGGGTTGATCATGAGGTGGTGTCTGGTCTCATAGTGGACGATTACCTGCGCGCTCGCATCAACAAGGTGAGAGGGGAGGGGGAGAAAATGGAGAGAGGGGGGGAAGGGGGGGCGGGGTGATGGAGGTGGTGGTGGTGAGAGAGAGTGAGGTGGTGGTGGTGAGAGAGAGTGAGGTGGTGGTGGTGAGAGAGAGTGAGGTGGTGGTGGTGAGAGAGAGTGAGGTGGTGGTGGTGAGAGAGAGTGAGGTGGTGGTGGTGAGAGAGAGTGAGGTGGTGGTGGTGAGAGAGAGTGAGGTGGTGGTGGTTAGAGAGAGTGAGGTGGTGGTGGTTAGAGAGAGTGAGGTGGTGGTGGTTAGAGAGAGTGAGGTGGTGGTGGTTAGAGAGAGTGAGGTGGTGGTGGTTAGAGAGAGTGAGGTGGTGGTGGTTAGAGAGAGTGAGGTGGTGGTGGTTAGAGAGAGTGAGGTGGTGGTGGTTAGAGAGAGTGAGGTGGTGGTGGTTAGAGAGTGAGGTGGTGGTGGTTAGAGAGTGAGGTGGTGGTGGTTAGAGAGAGTGAGGTGGTGGTGGTTAGAGAGAGTGAGGTGTTGGTGGTTAGAGAGTGACCTCGCAAAGGCTTCTAGTGGATGAGTACCTACACGCTCGCATCAAGAAGATGAGACGGCGGGCGTGAAGTATGAAGAAGGTGAAGGGGTTGACGGGAGGGAGGTGGTGGTGGTGGTGGTGGTGAGAGACAGTGAGAGACCTCGCAAAGGCGTCTAGTGAATGAGATGGCTGGCTACCTGCTCGCGTCAAGAAGGCGAGATGAAGGGAGTGAAGAAGAATGGAGAAGGTGAGAGGGGTGCAGGGAGGGAGGTGCTGCTTGTGGTGGTGGTGAGAGGGTTACTGTGCAATAAGGGATTTCAGGACATGTAGCAACATTTTGAGGGTGAAGGGAGAGAGAAATAGCTATTTCTTTCTCATCCTTCATCCCCTTATTGCACAGTCTACAAGCTATTCCTTGCTCGTCCCAATCCACGCCTCTCGCTGAACCCCTCTCTACCACGCCTCACCCCTCTCCCTCCATGCTATCCCGGCATCCCCCTGCCATGCAGACGGAGGACGAGCTACTGGCGGAGAAGAAGTGTGTGTCTCACCTCATCGGCCTCGTAAGTCCCGCTCCTCCCTGCACTGCTGCACTGCCGCACTTCTCCCCACACCGCACGCATGCTGCTGCTTCTAATTGCCAGCCCGCCAACCAGCCTGCTGTATCAGTCTGTGTCAATCTGTCCCGGTCTTGGTCACTCCAGCTTGCGCGGCCGTTTCCTGCTTATGCTGTTGCACCGTGCAGTCAAGTGGTGGAGATCCATGCACACATGCACGCACACATACCGTATGCATGCATTGACGTCTGCATGCATTGACGTCTGCATGCATTGACGTCTGCATGCATTGACGTCTGCATGCATTGACGTCTGCATGCATTGATGTCTGCATGCTCACACACGGTACCTCCCCCATGCCTTCACTGCCCCACCATGGCAGGACAATGGCTACTGTGACCTACCGGAGGGCGACACCATGCTGCCTGGAGAGCAATGATTGCGGCCGGGCAGCATTGTTTGTCTTGTACAGCGCTCTTTGTTGTGCAGCACTCACTGCCTTGTACGATATCAGCTCTTACAGTACGGTACCGGTATCATTCATATAGACATGGCTAGCAAGGAGGTTCAGCTTTCCTGCTCTACAGTATATCAATTACCTCGCTGCTAATTGTATAATAATATTATGGATCAGGCTTCCGTTATTATCTACTGTACTGGTTATTCTCTACTGGCAATTCTCATCAAATGGTACCGTAATTTCCATGGACATGCGCTTGAAAGCACAAACATGTAAGTCACGAATTCATGTCAGCCTTACATCTTACAGTACCTGCCTATTGCTGGTAACGTACGGTAATGGTACTAAGGGTGCGTTCCTGTGGAGACACTTGTGTCTCAATCCCCTTTTTTCCGAGTCGCGTCTACACATTTTTGCAATCTCGCGTCACAAAAAATGAGTGTATCACGAAACTGTGCGACCAGGCGAAATTTACAGCTGTGCTCATTTGATTGGATTTCAAACTTGACTGAACACCTGTTTTTTCAACTGTCTGGTTCGGGTGGGGTTTTGACGAGCGGAACTTTTTCCCGCGCGAGATTTTTACTGTGGAATGTCCAGGTGCATTGACATTTCGAACCGCGTACAGAGTTGTTGACAATGACGGGTCGATACGCAACTCGTCCGCGACATCAGCGCGTTTCACGCTGACAAATGAAAATACATTAAAAGTCGCACAAGGGCGACACGCGTTTGTGACATTGTACGTTATAAGCTGGTTTTACGTGTCACAAAAGGATTGAGACACAAGTGTCTCCACAGGAACGCACCCTAAGCATATGCTAGTGTACTTTAAGGTCTTCCTTTCCACAACTCTGGAATGAACAGCCAGATGGCAATTCATGCTTGCTTAGTAGTCTACATAGAGTGTTAAGCAGTGAGAGGTCAGCAGTCAGTTCCTGGTGCAAACGCTAGCTTGAAAATCACACCAGGGGGCACAGCAATCACAATCGCCGTGTCATTGATACGTTACACCGGCAGCAGCACAAGGAGATGCTGGCATGGCGTCTGACTCATACCACCGGTCTCCACCACACCTCCCTCCCCGCAAGGCACATGGTGCACAGAAGAACGGTGTATGCGGAGTGGCATGGCATGGCACTGCGTCCAGCAGCTGAGAGGATCAACGATCCTGCAGCTCCGAATTTCACGCTACTGGCTGAGAGGATCAACGGTCAGGGGGGATTCATGACCTGTGGAAGTCCATGACTGGCTGGCCGCCTGACGGCCAAAAACCACCTGACGGCCTAACCACCTGTCAGCTCAGCGGTAATTTAGACGGCCCGCTGGTTAGCAGATCGCTGATGGCCGGCTGATGAGGCTAATCAGCACTGGCGGCAACGGTGGGGTCACTTCAGTTGCTCAAGCGCTCTGCTGCGACTCGTGTTCGACCACCTCGCGCGACGACTGGCAGACGGCTTCTTTGTCTGCGACCGACGCCTTCGGAGAGGTGAATGAGACGCGCGACAACGGCGACGTGCGCCGACCGGCGGCTTACGACAACGGGCGCCGGGCGGCAGCCGGGGATGGCTCAGCCGTCACTGGCCGTAACTGCGGAGCCTTCCGACAGAAGCGCTAGTGCTTCTCGCACTACGCGCCGCGTGGCGTACCGCGGGCCCAGCGCGAACACGGGGTCCGCGCCCTCCATTTCCGCCACCGCCGCCACAAATTCCTCCGCCGGCCCCCGCTGTGCGCAACCGCCGCGCGATTTTCCGCCCATCCCTCTGTTTCTACGCAGCAGCGCGGAGCCCACACCGCTGTTGCATTCCGCCCACTCTTCCGCTTCCTCCGCATCATCCCCTCTTTCGTTTAGGACGCCTTCTGCTTCCCCCGTGTCGTCTTCCGCCTCCGGAATGGCGCAGAGAGCGGGCGGCGGGCCCGACTCTACCAGCAGCTGAACCAGCGCCAGCCGCACGAGCTCGCGCTCCCGCTCCGCCGCCACTGCTGCTAGCCCAGGATCGCGCTCCTGGTTCCCCTTCCGTGCGGAGCGAATCTCACGAATCAGCTGCTCCGCGGTGCACGGCGCCTTGCCTTGCACGCGCTCCTCGAGCGGCACGAGTGTCTTTAATCTCTGTCGGATGTGGCGTGCCCAGCGGACGCGACGCGCCTCTGCAGATTCCTTCGGCGGAAAATGCCAGTGCTGCTGCGCGTCGTCGTCCTCGTCCCAGGGGTTCAAGTAGGACGTGAAGAGGCTGACGAAAACCGCGAGGCCCGTCGCGGAGCTGACGACGAGCGAGATGGGATCGGGCGATACGAACAGCATGATGGAATATGGTATTGAAGGCCAAACAACACGAAAAAATGACACGAGGGCTACTCGGGATATTCGAGAATTGTGTACGAAGACAAATGGAGTTGAGTGATTATTGGTGATATTAATCTGCTATGCTGGATGGAGTGGACCAGGGCTACGTGCGCGGCTGATGGTGGTGGCGGGGCGGGCGTGTCAAGTCAGTGTGCAGTGCGCAATCTGAAAGCCTGTGCACAGCTGTCGGCGACGCGCGTGAGGCCAGGCGACAGCGAAACGGCGCAGATGTTTTTTCTTCCGCCACATTGCGTTTCGGAAAGGGGCTACCCTGCCCCCATTCTAGTGTTCGGTCGCGTACTTTTCGCACCGATCGCCTGCTCGCTGCCGAATGCAGACGATTTGTTGCAAATGGGCAGGCACTTCCAAGGGAAGCAAAAACGTATGCGGGGAATGATTGGGGAAGGCTGGGGAAGGCCAGGAAGCGGGATGGGGAAACAACATTTGCCATGTTCCCCGCCGAACCCGAGCGAAACCATGCGCGGCGTGCCACGCGTTCGGCTTGGTGTTGCTGCTGGTTCGGGAGATGTGAGACGGGGCCGAGTCGCTAATACATGGGTGTTCAGTTTGCTGACGACATTGATTGAGCCGATTGGAGCGTGCTAACTGACCCAATCAAAAGTCAGCGATGACGCACCGCATGCTGGTCTGGTCTGGTCTGGTGTGGTGACAAGCTTGTGCGTTTCCGTTTCAGGTAGGCAAGGGAGTGGCACCAGGTGATGGTAACACCCAGCTCAGGTGGTTCCGTTTCTGTACGCTTTGCAATGGCAATCGCAGCACCAATCAATCATACACCTTACGCATGAAGCGAACATACGCATAATTAGCAGCTGGGTACACAGGTAAATGCACTAAATGGTGCAACAATTAATCACCCTTACAGAAGGAAAGCGGAAACATTTCCATACGCCTATTTGGACTACCTAGGTTAGCGTATTACTACATAAACTCAGTATACCCATAGCTACTTCCGTATCCGCTTGCACCAAACCCAGTCGGCAAGTTATACGGGCTACTATTGTTCCCACCAGGTCCTCCTATGGTACTCCGACCTGCTCCCTGCACCACTGTGTTACCCGGTTGGGCAGATGCAGTTATTCTCCCCGACGCATCGCTTTGCGGTTGCAGGAGGGCCGACTGGGAAGAATCGTTGACAAGGGAGGAATCGCGTGGGAAGGACGGGTCGTACGGCAATGATTGGTCTCGAGGCATTGAGGCATCCCGAGCCAAAGCCTCGGTTTCTGGGGCTTGGGTGTGCGCGTGTGATTGGTCGGGAGGAGCGAGAGGGTCGGAGGTGGGTGGGGCTGTGTATTGCGCGAATGAGTATGGTGGTGGGGGAGGGTAAGGGTGGGATGAGCTTTGGGGGTAGGGTTGGGAGCTTTGGGAGTAGGGTTGGGAGGAGGACTGCTGTAAGGCATGATGGGTCGCTGCCGAGCCTGCGGCGTAGGCTAGGACTGGAGGTCCCACCATGACGGAGGATAGGGCTGGGTCGTCCTGTTGCTTGTACATACTGCAGGGTGCAGGGGTGGTGGCGAAGGTAAGGTGGAAAGGGTATTCAGGCAAGTGGAACAGACAAGTGGAGGAGAAAGGTGTGATGTATGAAGGCCACGGTTGGGTGCAGGAATGAGCACAGGGCAGAGGAGGATTGATAAATGGAAGGTTGAAGAGATACACGTTGTTGGGGGTGGGGGAGGGGTGTTCGTGGAGAGGAGTTAGTAAAAAAAGGGAGGCCATGGGGATGATGCGTGGGAGAGATAGTCATGGGAGGATGGATGGCTGGGGATGTGTGGATGGGTGGAAACTGATGGGGATATGGATTGAGGAAGCTTGGCTCATGCGTGAATTGGGTGTTATGCGGATGTGGTGCGCCATTGCGGGCACACCACATCCCCTTACCCTCTCACCTGTCGTCACCTGTACCTCCATCGGGCAGGCAGCGCATGGCACGCAAGACGGAGAGACAACCAACTCCACGCCCCCTCTCTCTCCCCATCCTCCCATCCTCCCAGCACCTCACCTATCATCATCGCCCTTGCCTCCATCGGGCAGGCAGCGCATGGCACGGAAGACGGAGAGACAACCAACTCCACCCCCCCTCTCTCTCCCCATCCTCCCATCCTCCCAGCACCTCACCTATCATCATCGCCCTTGCCTCCATCGGGCAGGCAGCGCATGGCACGGAAGACGGAGAGACAACCAACTCCACCCCCCCTCTCTCTCCCCATCCTCCCATCCTCCCAGCACCTCACCTATCATCATCGCCCTTGCCTCCATCGGGCAGGCAGCGCATGGCACGGAAGACGGAGAGACAGCACCACCCCCACCTCCCCCCCTCTCCCTCCCCCCCCCTAGCACCTAACACCTGCCGCCCTTGTCCTCTCACCTGTCGGCACCCTTGCCCCCATCGGGCAGGCAGCGCATGGCACGGAAGACATAGAGGGGAGCCGCCACGGCCACCACCATGGCTCCCACAGCCAGCACCATGGCTCCCGTCCACAGCAGCACTGCTGCACTCTGCACTCCTGTTGCTGCCCCTCCCACGTACTGGTGGTGTGAGGGGGGATGGGAGTGGAATGATAGAGAGGGGGAGCATGAGTTGTGTCAGCATGGCCATCCACAATGCTGAGACCGATGCTCCCAGGGTCAGCACCATGGCGCCACACCACAGTGGCACTGATGCACTCTATACTCCCGATGCTGCCCCTCCTACGTACTGGTTGTGCTAAAGGTGGTGGTGAGGAGTGGGGAGAAAGGGCTGATAGAGAGGTGAGGGTGAGTCCAGTCAGCCACTTATGTACCGCAAAGCTCACCTCCTACTGCACTTCCCATCCGCCACTTCCCATCCGCCATTGCCCATCCGCCACTTCCCATCCGCCACTGCCCAACCCCCACCCTGTCCACCCCCCACTGCCCACCGCTTCTCCTACCGTCCACCGCCTTGGCGACATTTGTCACCTACTCCCCACCCTTACTCCCAACCTCCCCTACTGTCCACAACCCCTCCCATCCCTCCCCACCCCCTGCTCACCCTGGCAACACTGGAGACGTGAGAGCAGTTGGAGAGGGCGGCCACGAGCGGCACGGAGCCATCCAGGCGGTCAACGGAGATCCATGCGAGGCGCACGTCTTTGGCCACTGCTGCTGGCATCATGTCCAATGGCGGCTTCCCATCCTTGCCCTTGGGGCAGCCTAAGTCTGGACAGGTGACCTCCGGGAGCAGCTGTGGGCGTTGGGGAAGGGGGCGTGTGGATGGGGGTGGAGAGAAGTGGAGGGCGGAGGGGGAGTGAGAAGTGAGAAAGGGGACACAGCCACTAGCGGCACGGGGCGGTCAACGGAGATCCATGCGAGGCGCTCGTCCCTCGCCTCTGCTGCTGGCATCATGTCCAACGGCGGCTTCCCATCCTTGCCCCTGGGGCAGCCCGCGTCCGGACAGGTGACCTCGGGGAGCAGCTGTGGAGAAAAGGGTGGTAGAGGTGTGGAGGTGTGAAGAAGGTGGGAGTGAATGGGGATGGCGCATCCCTGGCCAGTGCTGCTGGCACCATGGCAATGGCGGCTTCCCATCCCTTGGGACAGCCTGCGTCCAGACAGGTGACCTCCGGGAGCAGCTGTGGCGTGTGGGGGAATGGGAGGTGGGGGGGAGGGGGTAGGAGAGGAGAGTCACGTGGAGGGGAGAGGGAAGTGGGGAGAGGGGGGCAGGCACAGCCACTAGCGGCACGGCACCGTCCATGGTTGGTCCAGGCACAGCACGGCACAGCACAACACAGCACAGCACAGCACAGCACAACACAGCACAGCACAGCACAGCACAGCACAGCACAGCACAGCACAACACAGCACAGCACAGCACGGCACGGCACGGCACGGCATGGTACGGCACGGCACGGCACGGCACGGCACGGCACGGCACGGCACGGCATGGCACGGCACTGTCCATGGTTGGTCCAGGCAGCAGGCCTGTCTGCTTGAGTCTGCATAGAAGCTTCCTAGCTATGCCCATTTTACCTCCTATATGTAGCAGCTCACTCCCTTGTATATTAGCAGGTACTTGCGCACATTTTCCTCCCAACTCTGCCCAATTTCCTGCTAATCTTGCCCACTTACCTCCTACATCTGCCCACTCGTGACTTAAAGCCCATTCGTGTGCTCACGTCTTTCAACTGGCGGAAGGAGATGGAGTTGGGCGGGCAGGCAGTGTCGTTGTAGAGATAGTCAGGACCCGGGCCAAAGGGCGAGCAGATGCCTGCTGTCGCGTTCAGACGCGGGAAGACCTGGTGGTGGGGGGGGAGGAAAAGAGGGGGGAGAGGGGGAAGATGGGGGAGAGGCGGAAAAGAGGAGAAGGGGGGGGGGGGGGGGGGAGTTGGGGGTGTGGAAGGGGGAAAAGAGGGGCAAGGCAGGCAGTGTCGTTGTACAGATAATCAGGGGGCCCAGGCCGAAGGGCGAGCAGATGCCTGCTGACGCGTTCAGATGCGGGAAGAGTGGAAAAAGGGGGGAAAGGGTTAGAAGAGGAATAGAAAATTGGCGAGAAAGGCGGTAGGGGTGTGAGGGAGAGGGGGAGGGTGAACAGTGTTCTACTTGGGGGCGCGTGACATGAGTGTTTTACCTACCTTGGGGTAGGTGGTTTGAAGATTCGCGTTGGTGAAGGTGATGACGTCATAGGCAGCAAAGCGGGCAAATCTAGCCGCGTCGCCGAGCTTGGTGGCGTTGAGGCACGGTACCCAGCGGCTGAATGCGGTGTTGAGGGATGGGTACAGCGTGACTTCCTTCACTGCTGATTCTGTGTCTGTGCTGACGCTGAGGAGAAGAGGGAGGGGGGATGAGTAAGCAGAGGGGAGGGGAGGGTGTGCAGTGGTTGAGGCCTGTAACAAAGGGGTTGAATGCGGTGCCAGCGGATGGGTACAGCGTGACTTCCTTGACTGCTGATTCTGTGTCTGTGCTGACGCCGAGGAGAAAAAGGGGAGAGGGAGGGAAGGGGGGGATGAGGATGCAGAGGGAAGGGGAGGGTGTGCTGTGATTGAGGCCTGCTACAAAGGGGTTGAATGCGGTGCTGAGGGATGGGTACAGCGTCACTTCCTTCACTGCTGATTCTGTGTCTGCGCTGAGCTGAGGAAAAGAAGGAGAGGGTAGTGGAGAGGAGGGGGGATGGGGGAAAGGGAAGGGTGGGGGAGAGTGGGGATGAGGGTGGGACACTAGGTGAGAAAGGCCGTGGGTGGTGAGTGGAATGTCATGGGAGAGAGAGATTGGGCGCTCGTGCTAGTACCAAGTGAGGGGGACGGCAACGATGCACGAGGTGAGGACGGCTGTGTGGGTTGAGCGGATTCAAGGGAATTCAAGGGATACAAGGATGGCTGGGGCACTCACGTCACAACTGTGAGGGAGACGGCCACAATGCACCAGGTGACCAAGGCTGTGAGGGTTGAGCGGACTCAAGAGAGGTGAGGAGGCAGCTGGGGCTGGGGCACTCACGTGACGACGGTGAGGAAGACAGCCACGATGCACCAGGTGACAAAGGCTGTGACCCACACGAGCGTGCACATGCTGTTAGGGCACAGGAGAAGAGGGGAACAGAGGAGAGTGCGGTGGAGGGGAGGGTGGTGGGGAGAGGACACAGAGTGAAGATCGTTGGATGGCATGATCACATGTGACATGACATGTGGGATGGCATGTGGGATGGCATGTGCGATGGCATGTGGGATGGCATGTGCGATGGCATGTGGGATGGCATGTGGGATGGTATGTGAGATGGCACGTGTGGTGGTGGCATGTGCGGTGGCATGTGAGATGGCATGTATGGTGTCATGAGTGGTGGCATGTGAGATGGCATGTATGGTGTCATGAGTGGTGGCATGTGTGACAGCTTGAACTCGGGGGTGTGGCATGTAAGCCATGGGGAATCGGAAGGGGGGAACTTCTGAGGCGCCTCAAAAGTTGGAAAGTGGCATGTGGAAACACGGGGGGTGCCGTGTAAGCTACAGAGTTAGAGTGGCAAGCTGTTAGCGAAGCAGGGAGGTAAGGAGGTAAGGAGATTAGGAGGCAAGGCAGCAGCAGCAGCTTACACGTGAGAGAAGGTGGCCCACTGGAGTATGGCCGCCACTGGTGGGTGGATGGGCATAATGGGGGGGAGGGAAGTGTGACGGAATGAGTGAGGCACGAATGGGCGTGTGTGCGTGTGTGGAAGAGTGCATGTTGCGCGAGCGTTTCTATGCGCACGAGGGTACAGTGGACGGGGAAGGGGAGGGGGCGAGAATGTTTTTTTGGAATGCTCAAGAAACAGATTCAGCGTTTCTATGCGCACGGGGGTACAGTCGACGGGGGAGGGGAGGGGGCGAGGGTGAGAGAGGTGGGAGGGGGTGGGAACCCCAAAGGAGGAAAGAGCGACAGGGAAGAAGAGGGGGGCTGGAGGGGGAGAGAGGAGAAAAAGGAGGAGGTGCGTACCGACAGTGAGAACCACAAAGGCAAAGGCGATGCACCCCACGACGAACACAGTGGTGGACCTGTGGGTGTGGGAGGAGCACGAACGATTAGACGAGATGCCTTATAAACGCCGCGCAATCAAGCAAGGCCTTCACATGCTGTGGCTGTTTTTCCCACTGGGATATCTATTTTGACTCTCCATCACCTCGCTGCCCACTTATTATTTCCCCACTCCGCACCCCCGACTCCCTGCCCCTTCTTCTTCCCCTCTTCCACCGCACCCGCCCCTGTCCCTTCACCCTGCCACCCCCCCTTCCCCTTTCTCCGCCCGACCTTTCCTTCCCCGCCCGCCCTTTCTTGCCCCGCGCTCACATTTTCTTCCCGAAGTCTCGCAGCTCCGAGTCACTGTTCGTTATTTTGTCGTTAAGCTCGAGCGCCGCTGACGTCACCCTCTTGGAGAATTCGAATATCTGCAGCCGCTGCTCCGCTGCAGGGGGGCGCGGGGGAGGGGGGAAGAGCGGAGGAACGGGAGAGTAGGTTAAAGGGGAAGGGGGGTGGGGAAATGAGGGAGGAGGGTGAAGAGGGGGTGGGGGGAGGGGAGGAGAAAAGAAGCGGTGGGGGGTGGGGGGTGGGGTGGAAAGGGGGAATTGTCGAGGGAACGAGAGGTGGAGAAATCGAGAGACCGCACTCTTGTGGACGAAACCGGAATAGGAGTTCGACAAAAAAGAAGAGCGGCAAGTGAGAGGGGTGAGAGTGCATGCACGATTAAGGAGGGAGTCTCAACAACCGTTGGATGAGGGCGGAGTAAACGAGCGCGTAGGTAAGGGGGAACGGGGAAGGGGGAAGGGGGAACGGGGAAGGGGAACAGGGAACGGGGAAGGGGGAACGGGGAACGGGAAAGGGGAAGGGGGAGCGGAACGGGGAACGTACGCTGCAAGAGCTGTTCGTTGATTCGCGTGCCCGCGGTGACCTGGATCGCCGACGCCACGTTGTACACCGCCGTCGTCGTCGCGTTGGTAACCTTAATCGTGTAATCGCCGATTTCGCCCAGCCTGTCGTTCAGCTGCACGCTCCCGGCAATCATCAGGCCGAACCCCGTGCTGGTTACCAACGCGACGACGGTTACAAACCACAGCGGAGGGAGAAGGGAAAATCGTGACTAGGAAATAAGAACAAGGACTGGGGGAAGATGAGAAGCAAGAGGACAGGGGAAAGGGGACGAGGAAACGCGACGGAGAGAAGAAGGGTGAGGGCACGGCGTGTTTTTTGAGAATTCTCAAAAAGGGCACGGCGACACCAGGGAGCGATTCTCTACATGCTTCCCCCCCCTATCGCGGTCCCAGTCATCCTGCGTTCGGCGAGGTGATTCGTACATTTTACTTCCCAAACATTCCCCCTTCCCGTGTTGCTTTTCAAACGACTCTAAATCGTCGACCGATTCTCTCCCGAGTCAGCTTTCTCACATGACAATCATGCTGCCGACGACGAGCGCGTAAAGCAACAGCGAGATGTTCTGCGGCGAGTACACGTGCGCGGCGGGGTCGCGCATCTCGTCCCAGCGCGCGCGGCAGAAGAGGAAGAGCGACACGAGGAAGAGCACGAAGCCCACTCCCAGCAGCAGCCACGCGAAGCCGATCACGGGCGCGTACACCACGGAAAATGTCACGGACTGGTGGGGAATGGGAGAGGGTGTGGTGGGTGGGAGCGACAAGAGGGTCGAGACGAGACATTGGACGATAAGGGAGGAGGGAAGGGTATCGAGAGAACCGCTGTGTGTAATTGCTTTTCTTTTCCTCTCTCGCACGCATTGATTGGAAGGCTGCAGGGCGGGATGGGAACAGGGGCAGGAATTCCTCCTGTGACCACCCAAAAGCACCCCCCGCCCACTCCCTCCCTCCCTTATCCCCCCCCCGCCCACTCCCTCCCTCCCTTATCCCCCCCCCCACCCTCCCTCCCTCCCTAACCCCCCCCCCACCCTCCCTCGCCCAATTTCTTAGGGAAAAAAAAACAACAACAAAAAAAAGTCGCACAAAATATTAATTAAGCATCACTTACGGCCCAGTAGTCGTCAGACGACAAGTTCCACCCGCCGATGTAGTACTTGAACTCGTTAATAGGGTTGATGCGACGCGTGCGATCCGTCGCAAGCAGAATCGTCGCATTTGCCAGAACCGAGCCTGTCGCATTAACCACAGTCGAGCCGTCTGGCGACAGAACCGACTGCAGCAGATGCCGCCCGACGCCATGCTGCTGCTGGTGGTAAGCATTGCCGCTCGACTGCTGCCGGACCTGCTGTGGTTGATAGTACGACTCGTGAAGCTCGATAAGCGATCGCGCGTTCTGTTGTAATCGGAGCAACGCGTCGGGAACATCTGCGTGCCGGTACACGGTGGTTTTGACTGCTTCGGCTGGTCTTACTGGCGAGGTGGCGTGAAGAGTGGCTAAGATAAGGAGCAAGAACGGGAATGGGGATGCTGAAGAAAGGCGACTGCACGGGGAATTTAGAGAATGGGGATGCATATTGGCTGGTAGCTTTTGAGAAGAACGCGAGAAAGGTATCAGAGCATGCTTTTTTTCGACTGCTGCCACTACGAGACGGTTCCACGCAAGGCAAAACACGTGGGAAGGCACATACACCGGTCCCTCGAGTAGAACGTAAGAATAGGTGGAGGGCTAGCAGGAAGACTGGCAAAATGCACGTGGTTTCTAGTTTGAGTCGAAAGGCATGCGAGAAATGCGGTGATGTAGCCAACTTCAGTGCTCGACGCTAATTCATCCGACTAATTTAAACGAGGTTTGTCTCTTGAACGAGGCCCAAAAGAAGTCTTACCTGTATTGCACGCAGTTATTTCCAGCTACACCCCGACTTCTCAGCTCCCAAAGGAGCTGATGGAAATGGGGCCAAGACAAGCGAGAAGCAGCAGCAGCAGAACCGCATTGAGCGACTGGAAAAATGCATTCAAGTGGACGGACGGAACTTGGAGCGTGGCTTGCTGGGTTGGGGGGGGTGTTGGAGGCTGGTGTAGGGCTCCTCTGTAAAAGTTGGAGCAAGGAAACTGGAAAATGGTGAAAGCTTGGATTGGAGGGATGCCGACATTCTCGATGGACGGTCTCGATTGGATAAGCATCGCGCACCGACAATCACGTTCCCGAGCTAGTCCGTTTCAATAAGCTCGGAAGTCTGGCTGGGCCAGAAGCTTGGCACGAACCTCCTCCGATAAAAGCTCGAAAGCGCTGCTGCCCAGTGCCCCGCCGCTAGGCGAAACACGGAGCAAACCACGATCAGGACGGCTCAGGGCTGGAAGCCGAGTCGCACTGCTTGTTTGGGGCGTGCGGCTTGCTGATGTGGCTCGAAATGTATGGCCGTTTAGTGTGTCTACCAATAGTATGCCCTGGCCTTGTAGCTACGTTCTGAAATTGATATACAGTTGTTCTCATCATGTTTGAGCAATTAGGTTGTACAGCATGCCTTTTCAGGTTACACCTTCCTTTATTCCCATAAACTTCCTTATTTCAACACTGGTTTTTATATCCTGGTTTTTCTTATTATCTGCTAAACTAACTTGCCATCATTCCTGTAAGTTAAATTCTTTCTCTTGAACAGGTATGTATCAGCCTACCATGTTCCACTGTAGAAATACATGGTTAGCCTTGAGAGCTCACTTGAATGCGGTGGGGTGAGATGCGTAGATAGTCAGAGCGGCTCTTTTACAAGTTAGAACGGTGACGTAGGGTATTGGAGCCAAGAGGAACTTGAAATTCACCTCCGCACCAACCTTCCGACCTCAATGCACTGCACGGCTGATATTTCTCATTCAATTGACGGCGTCCCTTTCACGCAAGCTACCGTCGCACATGATGGGCGCTACAATGCATTTCTGAGAAGCAATCGGCGTGCGGCTACCGAATATCTTCACCATCTCGGTAGATCCGAATTCCTCATCATCGTCGTTCCTGGCGTTCCCCGCACGCGGATCCCAGCCATGGCTCCGAGCCAGCCTCCCAAGCCTAATCCGCTGCCTCGGGGCCCGGTGGTGGCGATCTGCGTCATGTACTTCACCAACGCGCTCGCGCCCACCATCCTCTTCCCCTTCCTGCCGCTCATGGTCGCCAGCTTCCACGTCACGGACGACCCCACCAAGCTCGGGTTAGTTACAAACGACCGTCGGGCGTCGCTTCGCCGACCAGCGTCAGCACGAGACATGCCGCTCCTACCATCCGCGTCCCCTTGCTGCCTCTTATGGTCGCCAGCTTTCGCCACAGACGACTCCACGAAGCTGGGATAAGCTTTCGATGGCTTGGGGTCTCAGCAGTCGGGTGATCATCCAGCCGGACTCAGCGATTGAATGCAAACCGGCTAGATGTGGTCGCTGCGCGCATGAATTAGCTGCACGTCAGCGCGTCTTCGTCACGTCATTGCACCGAATGAGCAACCACGAGACACTACAGATAAATTCATCGCGTGAATTAGCAATGTATCGGCTCGCCGTACCTTGTGGTGCTCCTTGGCCATTTATTTCGCTGAACTTTGACGTGACAGTGTGTCTGCCTCAGTCCAAATCAGCACAAAGAACAAGCCAGTCCACGTCAACGCATTAAATCTCAACTTCCAGCTCGTTTCTTGTTGTATTGTGGACTTTTTTTTCTCTCCAATTTGTTCTTGCATGTGCTGTCCCTCCTTCTTTCCTCCCCCCCCCCTCTCCTCTCCCCCCCCCCTCCACCTCCCTCTTCGCGTTTGCCTTCGTCTCGTCCCGTTCGGATCGTTCCACCGATCTTAACCCGTCCGTCAGCTACTATGCGGGCTATCTCGGCTCCTCTTACTTCGTCGGCTCACTCATCAGCAGCAGCTTCTGGGGGTGGGTGGGCGGGTGAGGCGGGTTGCGAGGGGGGCATGGGAGGCCTGCCGAGCCACCTCGAGGTGTTTTTGGCTTTTCTGAGTTCCCTTTTTCTGCAAACCCACAGTCGTCGTGATCACACGTTCAACTGCTCCCGTGCGTGCATCACACATCATTGCAACGGCTGCTGCCTCCACTTGTTTCGAGACATCAAGCTCCCACGGCTGCTGCCCCCCTTGTTGTAGGCGTCCCTTCCTGTCTTGCTTTCAGGGCGGAGAACAAATCCACCTCTCTGGGAATCACTTTTGAGAATTCTCAAAAGAGAACACATCCACCTCTCCCCACCCCGCTGGCCGGCTCTCTGTCCCCACTGTCAATTCAGTCGCTCTCCCCCAACTTCCCCCCTCCCACTCCCCCTTCAACAGCATCCTATCAGACCACTGGGGGCGCAAGCCGGTGTTGCTGATAGGTCTGGCGGCCAACATGGTGTGCGGGGGGGCGTTTGGGCTCTGCACGTCCTTCCACGCTGCCATGCTCTGCCGCCTCCTGCATGGCCTGCTCTCCACCATCGCTGCCACCGGCAGGACGTGAGTCTCCCTCCCTGCCCCTGGTCATCCCCCTGTCCTTCTCCCATTGACGTGCGATCTGCTCTGCTCTCCCTCCTCGGTCTGCTGCACGGCCTGCTCTCCACCACCGTTGCTACTGGCAGATCGTGAGGCTTGAGCTGCTGACGTGTAGAGAAAACGCCGTCTGTTTATTATATGTGCTTTGCAGAGTCTTAGATTCTTGTACATGTCAGCAGTTGCGTTGCAGTGTCCTATCATTTCTCGCAAGGTTTGTTCCATCTTTGCAATATCTTTAGCTTTATGATATTGCATTTTCTCTCATGCCTCTCCCCATCCTCTCATGCCTCTCCCCATCCTCTCATGCCTCTCCCCATCCTCTCATCCCTCTCCCCATCCTCTCATCCCTCTCCCCATCCTTCCATGCAGCACAGTGGCAGAGCTCTGTGACTCCACCAATCAGGCGCAAGGGTGAGAATCTCTTCATGTGAGAATAAAAACTCCTGCTTTATCCTGCTTCCTATACCTCTGGTTGTGCCATTCATTTCCATGCGCTTTTCCTTGAATGATGACCCATTCTCCATCTACCTTGTCTGAGTCATCCTCATGCTCTCCTCTTCTTGTTGCACATTTTTTATTTTTATTTCCTTTTTCTCATAAAACGACTGACTCGATCCCATGCGCTGCTCATCTTGTGTGCTTTAAATGCCTTTCATCTACGTGGCTCATGTTGCAAGCCGTTTATTCTCCCCACTCCCCAGTTAACCTCCCCAGTTCATCCGCTGCCGCCCACCTGCATTCCCTCTCCCTTCCATCAGCTTCGCCCTGCTGGGAACCAACTTTGGTCTCGGCTTACTCATTGGTACGTTTGGGCTTTGTGAGACGTGTGTGGTGAGTTGACCCACATGCACAAAAGTGCGGTGCACGCACACACACACACGCACGGACACACCCACACATGCACGCACGCACACGCACGCTCGCGCGCGCGCGCACACACACACACACATACACTGCACACAGACACATCATTACACTCACACGTTCACCATTCACATTTGAATGAACTGCAACCCCTCCTACTTTTCGTTTCATACTTCTATATACGCGCCTCCCCTGCAGTCCTACACAGTACCTTTATGTTATCACCCATTCCCTCACGCTCTCTCTCACGCTCCCTCTCCCTCACTTCATTGCCTAACTCCTGATCTTACTCCTTGACCCTCACAGGCCCAGCACTGGGCGGCTTCCTGTGCGAGCCAGCACTCAAGTACCTCTGGCTGTTCCTTGGCCAGTGTGTGACTGTTTCTTCATACATGCATCCACTCATTCGCATACGTCTCTTCCTTCCTCACCCCTCCCCACAGGTCCAGCGCTGGGCGGGTTTCTGTGCGAGCCAGCACTCAAGTACCCCTGGCTCTTCCCCCCGCACTCTCTCTTCGCCCGCCTGCCCTTCCTCCTGCCCTGCCTGCTGCTCGCCCTGCTCTCCCTTCTCGGCCTCCTCGCCACCGCTGCACTGCTGCCGGAGACCAAGGGGTGGGCTCACTGTGTGGTGGACGTAGACCGTGAGATTCAAACTGATGCTGATGCTGATAGTGCTGTCTGCGGCGCTGGTGGTAGCAGCAGTGGTAGTGGTAGTGCTGCTGTTGCTGCTGCTGCACTGCTGCCAGAGACCAAGGGTTTGTCGCACCCCATGGTAGACTGTGCAATCCGATCTGATCAATTTCTTGACGAGAAGTGTGGCAGTGGCAGGAGTGGCAGCGGCAGCTGCAGCGACGGTGGCAGCGGCAGCAGCAGCAGCAGCAGCGGCGGCGGCGGCGGCGGCGGCGGCGGCAGCAGCAGCAGCAACAGTGGCAGCGGCAGCGGTAGCATGGGAAGTGGGAGCCGCAGCAGCAGCAACGTGGGAAGTGGGAGCCGCAGCAGCAGCAACGTGGGAAGTGGGAGCCACAGCAGCAGCAACGTGGGAAGTGGGAGCCGCAGCAGCAGCAACGTGGGAAGTGGGAGCCGCAGCAGCAGCAACGTGGGAAGTGGGAGCCGCAGCAGCAGCAACGTGGGAAGTGGGAGCCGCAGGTCAAGCCTTAGCCAGCCACTGCTGCAATCCATTGCAGAGGAGCGAGGAGACGAGGAGGACGGGGAGGAGGAAGGGGAGGAGGAGGAAGCGAAGAAGCTTGGATGGGAGGAAAGAGGGAAGGAAGGGGAAGGGTGTGGAGAAGTGAGAGGAGGAAGAGAGGGAGCTGAGGCAGGAGCAGGGCAGTCAAGAGGGAGTGGCAGGATGTGGGGTACGAGCATAGGAGAAAGTGAACGGCCAGAGGCCACAGGGGGAAGAGAAGCAGGCGGAGGAGGGAGAGAAAGGGGAGGAGGGTGGGGGAAGTATGATGAGGAGCGGGCATGCATGGTAGCTGACAACAGAGGGCACCTGAAGGATCACCTGAAGGATCACCTGGGTGGGAAACAGCTGGATGGGGATCATTTGAGGGAGCCACTACTTGAATCAAGAGAGAGAGGAGGGGAGCTGCGGGAAACCGGAGTTGATACTGACAGCACTGCCACTGCTAATGGCTTCTGCTCCCCCTCCTCCTGTCTCTCCTCCTCCTCCCTTTTCTCCCCCTCCTCCCGTTTCTCCCCCTCCTCCCGTTTCTCCTCCTCCTCCCGTTTCTCCTCCTCACGTTCCTCTTCCTTCCTTTGCTGCCACTGCCTGCCCAAGCTGCAGTGTCTCTGCTGCTGCTGCCTCCCATCCCCCTCTCTCTCCCCAGTGAACCTCTTCGCGCCTCTCTGTGGCCACCACCTCGCACGCGCTCTCTTTGATTCTGCCACTGGTACCTCTCCCCACTCCTCTGAACCTCTTTTGCGTCGGTTTTGGGAATTTCCGAGTCTCACAAACGCATTCCTTGATTCTGCCACAGGTTCTTGCTCTCTTGCGTTCTCCCTCCCTCCCTTCCTCCGCTCGTCTCCCCCGCCTCCTTCCCGCCGCATTTCATTTCACCATTCTCCTTCTGCTCCTCTCTCTCAACTCCCTTTTCAAACTCCAACCCATCACATCAAACTCTCGCACCCACATGTGACTTGTGAGTCGACTCTAGAGTCACCTCTGTGGTCCCCATCCATCTTTTCAAGACTGCTGAGGCCTCCGCAGCCCACCTGTCCGCTACTGACAGCTCTCGCACCCTCATGTGCTGTGCTCCCCATCCGTCTCTTCAAGTCCGCTTCCTTCTCGTATGTTTTTTTAGAATTCTAAAAAAACATACCCTCATGTGCTCCCCATCCATCTCTTCAAGACCGCTTCCTTCTCTTTTTGAGGCGCCTCAAAAATCCTTTCTGCTCCTAACCCTGCTGCTTGCCTTCGCTTGCCTCTCTTGCCCTTCCTCTTCTCTGCTCAGCTTCTACAGTTGCCACCACCCTAAGTCTCTCTGTCGTTCAATTCCCGCAATTACCACCATCACCATCACCATCACCATCACCATCACCATCATCATCATCATCTCTCTCAGTGAACACGTTCCTGTTCCTCTCTGCTCAACTTCTACAGTTGCTTCAAGCACCAACCCTACCCTCTCCATTGCTCAACCCCCATACATCACCATCACCCCACATCACTCCACCATCATCATTACCATCACCATCATTTCTCCCAGTAAAGGCGTTCCTCTTCCTCTCCCTGCTCAGCTTCGCTACAACCTCATTCAACGAGGTGAGCTGCTAAGCAGAATGTGATAACAACGAGGTGACTTGTAACAACAACAGTTGCGAACATGCGACACAGGGAGGTGCGGTGCCAAGATGTCACGATACTGATGCGGCCCACCTGCAAAAGCTCGTTCACCTGTCAGTGGGTGACGCACGTAGGCTGGATTTACAGCCGCTTCAGGATATATGCATAACTCACGCTGGGATTTAGCTATGCTGACTGTTGAGTCAACACAAAAGTCACCTCAGTACAGCCGCTGCAGGATACATGCATAACTCAGGGTGGGATGCATCTATGCCATCTTGATCCCCTCGTGACAATTCCAGACAATAACACTGAATAATTTGTTCTCTCTCTTTCACTCGCGCTTCACCTCTTCCTCTCCCTCCCAGGTCTTTCCTCTCTGGAGCCTCACTGACTGGAGGTTTGGAGGGCTCAGCTTCGGCACGAACCAAGTTGCCATGGCCCAAACCTGCGCAGGAATATGCTCTGTAGGTGCTCAAAGCTGCAGCTCGTTCAACCAAATGTCTTTGATGCTTCTGATTGCAGGCATAATCAGAAGCAGCAAGCGGTACTGATAAATAATCTGTGATGACCAACTGAATCGATTTGTCTTCAAACCTTCAAGCTCAACACAGCGAGCAACTCCTCTTGACTGGAAGCTGGAAATCTCTTTCGAGGTGTCTCAAGACTGGAAACAGGAAATATCATTGCTGGGTCCATTTCGTTCATTCACCTTCGATATTTATCTCCCTGCCTCCCGTTCTCACGCCCCCTCCTGCCTTCAGCTTATCCCTCCCAACACCCGCTTGCGTCGACTCAGATGATTTTCCGGTTGTGACAAGGCTGTATGTAGCATGCTTACAATTCCTCCCTGTTTATTGCTCTCAGGTGATTTTCCAGCTGTACGTGTATGCGCCTCTTGTCAACAGAGTGGGTGCCCGGGGAGCCGTTCAGGTGAGTGAGTGTTACTGTGACTCATGTTAGTGTTACTGTAGCTCAAGTGAGTTTGCACACGAATGATTTATTCGGTAGTTCGCTTATTCGCTTCTCATATCAAGTCTGCATGCCTTCTCTCCTGCCTGTCATTCGTCGTGCTGTTTCGGCCAATCAGGTGGCGCTGTCAGGCGGATTCGTTATAGTCACATGGCTTCCCTTCATCCGCATGTTTGGCCATGGCAGTGGCGCCACTGTCATCGCTGCTTGCCTTTCTCTCGCCCTGCGAAGGTGCGCTTTCAAGATAAGAATGACAGCATGGACACTTTGTTTGAGTTGAGTTGCTTCCTGGGAGTTTACTCAGGTTGAGTTGCTTTCTGAGTGGCCAGTGAAAGCATGGGTGTTGCCATTGTGGTCTGCCGCTTGTGACTTAATCCGGCACTATGATGTGGAGGTTTATTTTTTCCACACCTGGCTGCTTGTGAAGACTCATTTCACATCTGTTTGCTTGTGCACGTTTGCACACTTGAATCTAAAAACTGCAGCCAGCCAGGATATTGATGGCTCGTGTCACGTTTGTGTGTTGTGTGTGATATATGAGATGCATGTCATGTTTGTGAAGTGCGGGGTGGGTATGATGTGTGTGATGCATATGATGCATGTGATGGATGTGATGCATGTGGTGTGCGGTATTTGTTTGCCATCTGGTGCATGCATCTGCAGTTTTGCGCAGTGTGTGTTCACATCAGGTTTTATCTTCATCAACAACAGCATCTCGGATCCAGCTTTGATTGGTGCCGTCACAGGGATCACTCAATCCATCAGTCTTTTTTTCAGGGCAATGGCACCTGCTGCTGGTGCTACCGTGTTTGCATGGAGCATCAGTGGTACACCATTCTTTCCGCTGGACCATCACTTGTTTTTCTTTGCTCAGGCGGTGCTTCAGCTTGTTTTGATAATGATTTCTCGGTCCATGCCGGACCATATTGACACGCCTAAGTTTGTTCGACGGCAAACGACTTAGTGGATATGTCATGCCACTTCAACATATCTTACCATGTGACAAAGGTGCATTTGTAAACCTTTTCTTATCAATGAGCTCATTAGAGGAGATGCAACCCCACGAGCCTCAGCCCCTGGTTTGTCAACATTGATCTCAACTCGAGGCTCGGTCCGCCAGCCATATTTGAGGTTCGTGGGTCCAGGCTGATTCTGCAGCCACAGACACTGACCAGGCATGACGTCAACAACGCCTCCCTTTTTGCCAGAAGGTCTCCGCAAACCAATTACCGTGCCTGATCATTTGCCGAACCTCTTTTGTAACCTCCAATTAGCGTCATCCGAAGCTCTTCTCCCCTCCGGCGTGGAGAGCAACTGAACGCCAACCACGATTTTCAGTGGCTTTGGTTCCCCTGGTAACGCCTAATATCGTTGCAGAAAGTAATTAAACCGTAATAAAAACGCTTTGCACATCATTCCTGATTGCTTCGACATGGCGCCCCTCACAAGCTCGCACAACCACCCAACCACCCGTTCTCAGCCATGGACTGATTTCTGTTGCTAGTCTTAATTTCTATTTGGAGTAATTCGAGTGTCTCGAGAAGTGTTCGTAGTTCTCGTTGGAGCTTCAGTTTTCTTTTTTCCAATCTTCATTTCAGGGTCGCACGTAGATCGAGCTGTTTTCTCTGTGGCAGTTAGACTAGCCGTCGATTAGACCGGCCGCCAGCTGTGATCAGCGCTAGTTGCCGGTCACCATGCCGCCAGGCACCCCGTCAGAAGTCGATGAGAGAAAGAATAGCTCAGCCTCCATAAGTATACCCAGTGGTGATACCAGTGATGCGAGGAATGGCGAAGCGCCTACAGAGCAGGAAGCGGTGGTGCCGCCAACGGTCAAGTTCATTATCGGCAACGAGTTCTGCGAGAGATTCTCGTTCTACGGCATGCGAGCGATCCTGGCGATGTACCTGAACGAGAGATTAAAGCTGTCGCAGGCAACGGCGACGGAGATGGTGCATCTCTTCATCGTCGCCGCGTACCTCGCTCCCCTGTTTGGCGCGTTCATCAGCGATAGCTACCTGGTAAGGATCCGCCATGCACACCTGTTTCTCGATAAGATGTTGCGTTTCCGGGCGACAGCCGCCTGGAAAAGATCCAACAGGTATAGACGATGATTTTGAACGGATCCAAGTAGTACCTGGTTCGGCCAGTGACGAGGAAACAAAGAGTCGAACCATGTTCGTCGTTCACGTTTCTTAAATCGATGAATTGTTAATTGTCGTTCATCACTGAGCATCAGTCATCTGTTCATTGTTGATTCCGTTCCTGCGCGCCGACCCCAGGGCAAGTACCGGACCATCTGGATCCTCCTTTACTGAGCACCAGTCGTCTGTTCATTGTTGATCTCCTTTATCCACGGCGAGTTCTTCGACTCCTCAAATCTCAATAGATCCCACGTGTCTCCCACGTGCCCTACTGCTAATGCCGTCCCCGCACGCCCACTGCAGGGCAAGTACCGGACCATCCTGTACCTCTCCTTCATCTACTGCGCCGGCAACTGGCTCGTCGCCTTCTCCGCGCTTCACACCACGCCGTCCGCTGCGCTCCCGTGGGCCGTCGCGGGGCTGACCTGCCTCGCGCTGGGCAGCGGCGGCATCAAGCCGTGCGTGTCGTCGTTCGGCGGCGATCAGATCGAGATGACCAACCCTCCCGGCGCGGCTCGGGACCGCCTGGTTCGGCAGTTCTTCTCGTATTTCTACTTCGCGATCAACGTCGGGTCGGGGATCTCGACGATCGTCACGCCGCTGTTGCGCGTTAATTTCTCGTATAGCGCCGCGTTCGCGCTGCCGGCCGTGCTGATGATGGTTGCCACGTGTCTCTTCTGGCTCGGCAGCGGGAGTTACGTGCACCAGCCGCCCGCGGGAAACGTGGTGTCGGAAGTCCTCTCGATAATCATCTCCGCTTTATGGCCGGGGAAAGCGCGGCGGAAATCCTACCCCACCCTGGCCATGCCCATGCCCATGCCCATGCCAATCCCGGAACGCCACGCCAGCTGCGCTGACGTGGACAGCTCCCCGCTCCTCTCCAGCAGCCCCGCGTCGTTTGGCGCGGGCAGGGGAGGCAGCTTCCAATCGGGGAGCCCGCTGCTAGGCGGCCAGTCCGAATCATTTCAGACTCAGACTCAGAGTCAGCAGCGGAAAGGCAGCCAGCCGACGCTGCAGAAGAAGCTTTCAAAGCGGGGTAGCAAGCGGGCCATAGTGCCGGTGGGGTTTGTTCCCAAGGCGCACTGGCTGGATCCCGCCAAGGGCGCGCACGGGGAGGAGGCGGTGGAGGACGTGAAGCTGCTGCTGCGCGTGCTGGCGCTGTTCGCCCCCGTGCCCATCTTCTGGTCGCTCTTCGACCAGCAGGCCAGCCGCTGGGTCTTCCAGGCGGAGCGCATGGACGGGCGCATCTGGGGGATCACGGTGGAGCCGGATCAGATGCAGGAGGGTTGCGGTGAGGGGAGGGGGGGTGGGCGTGGGGTGGGGGGTTGGGTTGGCGGGGGGTAAGGGGAGTCAGCAGGCCAGCCGCTGGGTGTTCCAGGCGGAAAGGATGGATGGGCGGATCTGGGGGGTTAGAGTGGAGCCGACCAGACGCAGGTGGGTGGGGGACGGGAGGGAGGGAAAGGGGGGGGAACGGGGGGAAGGGAGGGGTTTAAATGAGAATGGTTGGGGATGGAGCAGAAGGTTATTCGCTGGGAGTTTCAGGCGGAGAGAAGGGATGGCAGGATCTAGGGAGTCAAGGTGGAGCCCGACCAGATGCAGGTGGGTGGTGGTGAGGGGTTGGGGGCGGTTAGGAGAGAAGGAATGGCAGGATTTAGGGTGGCAAGGTGGAGCCCGACCAGATGCAGGTGGGTGGTGGTGAGGGGTTTGGGGGGGATTGGGATGGGTGGGGTGGGTGGGGTGATGGGTATTGGGGTTTTGGGCCAGCAGGCCAGGCGCTGGTTGCTGAGGCGGGGGAAATGGGTGGGTCAGGGTGGCGCCCGACCAGATGCAGGTGGGTTGTGGTGACTCGTGAGAGGGACTAGTGTTTGAGTGTGCAAGTGGGCTGGATGGATCAGATGTCGGTAAAGGACGAGGCGGATGGGGCAGGTGAGTGGGATGCGGCAGATAAGGCAGGTTGAGCTGCCTGGGTTGCTGCAGTTCAGAGGGGTTTCAGTGGGGAGGGTGGACGGGCCGTGGCTGAGTGGTGGAGTGGTGGATTGGTTGATTGAATGGCCGATTGGCTGCTTGGTCGTTTGGCTGTTTGGCTAATTTTCAGGGTGGTTGAACAGGTGGGTGAATGAATGGTTCCGTTGTCATATTGCGTGAGATGAGGGTTCAGCAATCAAATACCTTGGCGCATGAACGGTGGAAAGGGACAATCCGTGTGAAAGAAGGGAGCATGAATGCCAGGAGGGTTGGGACGATTCTAGAGCTACGTGTCTGCAAGAATGGTATGGGTCAACTCTCGCCTTTGATCGGCCATCTGCTCACTCATTCGTCCTTTGCTCCTTTTTCCTCCCATCCCCCCCCGCCCCCCCTCTCCCCCTTCCCTCACGCACAGACCATGAATGCAGCGCTCATTCTGGTGATGATACCGCTATTTGATCAGGTGATTTATCCTTCGTGCGAGCGCCTGGGCGTGTCCATCCGCCCCATCCGCCGCATGGCCACCGGCATGACCCTCGGCGCCCTCAGCTTCGCGCTCTCCGGCCTCCTCCAGATTTGGATCGAGGCTCGGGCCAAGTCTGGCTCACCGAGCCTGCTACTAGGCTCGGCAGTGACCGCTGCTGTTGCAGGGGTGGGGAGTGTGGGCGCAGGGGATGGAGCTGGTAGGGTGCTACTGGACATGATTGGGGGTAACATGACAGCAAGTGTTAGCAGTTTTGGCGGCATGAGTGGTATGAGTAGCAATGCCAGCATGATGAGCAATATGAGTGGTATTGCTGGTCCAATTGTGGCTGGTCCCACGATGGACGGATGGGGGGGTGACCTGGTGGCAATGGGAGCGGCAACAGCAGCAGCAGTGGGTACAGCAGGAACAGCAGCAGTGGAAGCAATGGGAGGCCTAGCAGCAGCAGCAGCGGGGGCAGCTGGAAACAGCAGCAGGCATGTGCTGCAAGCGTGTGGGGACCCGGGCAGCCCGCCATGTGTGTCACTGGCATGGCAGGTGCCACAGTATGTGATCATGACAGCGGGGGAGATCCTCTTCAGCATCACAGGCCTTGAACTCGCTTACTCTCAGGCCCCCGCCAGCATGACTGCTGTTGTCACTGCTTTTTGGTGCCTCACTGTGGCTGGAGGTGAGCCTTTGGCCACTAGGGAGTGTGCGTTTTATAGGTCGTGTGCGTTTGATAGGGCGTGTGCGTTTGATTGGGCGTGTGTGGTAGGTAGGGAGTGTGTTGTCTTCACTGCCGTGTGCCGGATTCACTGTCATGTGCCTGCTCTCCACCACTCTGCTGCCCCACTCATCGTGTTCCGCATCCCTCCTTCTCATCTCTTTCCTCCCGCTCCAGGCAATCTCTTCACGGCGGTGGTGGTGGGGACTGTCGGCTCACACCTCTCTCAAACGCAAGAGTTTTTCTTCTTCACCATCATGTGCCTCATCTCCACTGCTCTACTACTCTATGTCGGCAAGGGCTTCATCTATGTAGAGAGCTGCCAGGACTTTGAGCAACCTGACCCCTTCTCGCAGGGTGGTGCTGGTGGGTTTGGTGCAGTTGGTGGGAGTGGTGAGGGGCATAGTGCCCCAGTGGCTGTGCCTGGTGGGTCGGGCGTGCGGCACGATGCGCTGTTTGATATTGAAGGGGCGGGGAGCGTGAATTCGCCGCCTGCTTCGTACACTGACACGCCTACATGAGGCTTCTTTGTTGCCGGCTGACTCACTAGAGAACAACAAAAATGTACATGTCTGTCAGGAATTGGATTCAGGTGTTGGCGCCGTCTAGGTTGTTTGTGGTAATCGCCATTCTGTACAGAAAATAATGTACCAATTGATTCTTGTCTCGCACAGTACCTAGTAAGAGCGAACTAGGAGTGCTGCTGAAGTATCAGCTCAGTAAGTTCTGCAGTTCTCGTTTTCTATTAGAAGTTGCCTCTATCGAGTACGCAAACATGTGGATCTCACACGTGTCGATCTCGCACACCCAGCCTCATACCCTCCAGAAAGTTGGGGACTCGAAATCGAGCCGCCGAAACGAATGTCGGTGGTCGATCGCCTCCAGCAATCTGGGACTTGAATCGAGCCGCACACGAGAATTCCATCGCCTGTAAGGGGGCACAGCTGGTTCCAGCGAAAGTTTCATAATTCGCGAGAAGGGTTTCCTGATTCCAATAAGTTTCGCGAAGGCCTCCCTCACCACGAGATCCAGGCTTCAGTCCGCTGGACCGGATCAACCAATGGAAGGCCTCGAGTTTGCTCCAACGCATCATGTTGGATGGAGCGCAGAATGGGGTACGTGAGGGGGAATCCATGGCCAAACCTCGTTTCGTCTCCATAATGGCGTGTACAAAGTGCTGCACAAACTCGACGTCGAGGAACGTCGGTGAATCCTGACGTTTGGAACCTTTGATCCAAGGGTGGAAATTCACCGACGTTGCTCGACGTCGAGTTTTTGCGCACTTTGCACACGCCATAATCCTTGTGCCCTCAACCCAGCGCATTTCACAGATTCCTCACTTCACCATCTTGGTCATCCGTCCTCCTATCCGAGTCTTCTAATTACACTGATCAAGTTGAGTTGAGACGCTTGCCGTCACTTGCCCGTCAAAGCAGGCTGGTTTAAGATCCGGTCAGGATTAGAGACGCTAGGGCGGTTTGCTAACTTGAGAGATATAGTCGTCTCCTAGAATCCCGATTAGCAGCACAGAAGCCACAATGTCGGAAGAGACACAGAGCCTGACGGGAGCAGTTGGCTTGGCGACAAAAACAGGCGGATGGATAAAGAAAGAAGAGGTGAAGACGGCAGTTTCCAGGTGAGGTCCTCACAACGGCTCGGCTTACGCTTGCATCACTTATGAGCATTCTCTAATCAAATGGATAACGAAAGAGAGGGTGACGGAGGCCGTTGCGGACTCCAGGCGAGATCGTCAAATAGACTCAAGTGATGCATCCTTTTCCATCGACACATTGAGAAGTTTCGACTGAAATGAGGTAGGAGTGTTCAGTCTCATCAAACGGGGAGTGCTATGACCAGCAATATCCGCATGCCTTCACGCGAAACGGAACTTAGAGATTGACTTCATGAACCCAGTCGTAGGCGAAACTGTCCGCCATATGTGATCAGTCTGTTAGCGGAAAAGCCGGCCCCATTTGAAAAATGATTCGTGTGCAAATGCCTTGCCATCCACCAGCGCGTTCCAGATCTCTTCTCCCATGACTGCATTCGCAAATATCACTCCCATTCGTCCTCTGGTTCGCGGCGCCTCTCTTCCGATGAGAGAATCCTTTCGTTCTCATTCACTTCCTGATCAATGTCTTCCCCCCGCTGCAGCTATGAGAACTACCACGAGAGCTTCGGAGGGAGCGACAGCGCGCGCAAGTCCAACTACACGGACATGGTATGTACGTACGCAGTATGGCGCCGGGGGGATACCGATGTGGCTGGTATAAAACTGTTCTCAGAAGCTGGTATGTACACTGCATGTTGTCGGAGGGTTACAGATGTGGCATAAGTCAAACTCTTGATTATCATTGGCTGCAACAAGGCATAAATGCATTGACTCGAACTGTAACGAAGATTCGACTTGTGCCGTTACCCCAACTCGCCCATTTATTCGCTTCCTCGCCCGACCCACCACCCTTCTCACACACACGCCCAGGTGAACAAGTACTATGATCTGGTAACCAGCTTCTACGAGTACGGTTGGGGCGAGTCGTTCCACTTCGCTCACCGGTACGAGCTTCGCCAATTAGCCACGTTAGCCACCCACTATTGGAAAAAAAAAGGCTCTTAATTCATAGGAACGAAGCCGGCCAGACTTCAGTCAAGTCCACTGCACTCCAGCATTCATTAATTCATTCATCCATGCATTAATTCATCCCAGCTACGCGCACCATTACCCAAGTCAGACTGCATGGGCCTCCCTCGCAGCGCTGCGAGCTCATTGCATTGCGTCTTGCGAACTTTCAAAAAAACCCTGGTCTTGTCGCGTCTCCATCCCTGAAAAACCCATTTATCTCACTTTGCCACTCCTCCCGGCATCCCGTTGCCTCTCTGCTCCGCGCCTCAGCATGCGGGGCGAGACGCTACGGGAGAGCATCAAGCGTCACGAGCACTTCCTGGCTCTCCGGCTAGGACTGGGCCCTGGCATGAAGGTGCGTGCATGCCGTTCCATGGGGCGTGAAAGTGTGTACTTTGTTTCCTCCCCCTTCTGGAGTTTTCATTTCTCCCTGACAGCCTTCTAACTTTCATATTTCACAGTGTCGTGCCTCAGTCATTCCTCCTCTCCACACCTCGCCTCACTCCTTCCTCCTCTTTGCACCTCGGTTCTTTGCTCCTCCTCGCCCTCAGGTGCTGGATGTGGGGTGCGGCATCGGTGGGCCGTTGAGAGAAATCGCACTATTCAGGTACGCGCACAGCCTCTGCCTTCTGTCCAGTCTTAGAGAGAAATGGCCTGCTGGTCAGAACTTATGTTTGAGAGAGATTGCCTGATATTGCGCGTTTCTGTGGTACCCATTGGAACTGCGTCACTCACCCTGTTGTTGCTTGCACCCTGCTGTCCCTCCGTATTCCCACTCGTCTGTGCTCCACTCCTCACTTGCGCGCTCACTGTCTCCTCCCCTCTCTCCCTGTGTGCATCACAACACAATGCAGCGGAGCCACGGTGACGGGGCTCAACAACAACGAGTACCAGATCTCCCGCGGCAAGGTACGCTGGCGCACTTTCCATCCATGTATCAATGCATCCACCCACTCACCCACCCACCCGCCCAACCACCCACCCACCCACCCAGCCAACCTTGAAACCAGCCCTTCCATCCTTCCGACCCACCCTCACCATGTCGCCTCTTCTCCATTCCCGCCATCCTCCCCTCCCCCCACCCCACCAGGTGTTGAACAGGCGGCACCGAGCACTGGAAGCATGCGGGTTCATAAAGGCGGACTTCATGAGCATCCCCGTGCCTGACGCTTCCTTCGACGCCGTCTATGCCATCGAAGCCACTTGCCACGCCCCCGACGCCGTGAGTCTACTCTTGCCCTGTGACGTCTCAGAGACATTTGACACTAGGCACATCTGTCGCAAAAATGTGGAATCTTACAATTGAAATGACTTGTTTACTCTTGATTTCTCCCTGATCTGTCCCCATGGATCTATGCCTCACAGGGTTGGGGGGCAACCATGGTTTATCCCCACCACGTATCCATATCTGTCCCCGTTCTGTCCCTATCCCCCGCCAGGTGGGGTGCTACAGCGAGGTGAAGCGAGTGCTGAAGCCAGGGCAGTGCTTTGCGGCGTACGAGTGGTGCCTCACCGATGCCTACGACCCCAACAACCCCCAGCACCAGGAAGTTAAGGTGAGTGGGACCCGATACAGAACAAGGGCGACTCATTCAGGTCGACTTGAGCTCACTGCTGCCTTCTCTGCTCTTGCACGCGTTGGATCCCTAACGCCCTTTCGCCCCTCTCTGCAATCGTTCTCTCTCTTGTCGCTGTCTCTGCTGTTCGCCCTCTATGTCTTGGCCCCCCTTGTTCTTGTCCTCTCGCTCGCCTTGTCTCCATGCTCTTTCCCTTACGTCCTCCGACCTGATTCCCTTTTTTGCATTCTCTTCTGCCTGCTTTATCTAAACTCTCGAGCATCTTTCTATTTTCTGGCTGTGCGTTGTTCCTTGGGGTGTTGCCTGGTGCGGCATTGTGTGGTGCGGTGGGGAGCGGTGCAGAGGGAGGTGGAGCTGGGCAACGGGTTGCCAGACATCCGCACCACGGCGCAGGTCCGCCAGGCGCTGCTGGACGCCGGCTTTGAGGTGAGCCGGCGTGGTTGCGAGCCGTCCCTGCTGCGAGCCATATTCACAGGGGACGAAATCGCGTGGTGTGGCTGCGCGCCCGCACGCATGCGTTCCTGCATGGCTGGATAACCGCCCACGCCTGCAGGGATTTGCCAGCAGCATAGTCAAGATACACGCAAACCAAGGGGCCAGGCCAGACGTTTCTTGAAGTCCGTTCACCAATTCAGGCCTCCTCCCCTCCCCATTTTGCTCAACCCTCCCTCATTCATCACCCATCGTTGCTCCTCTCCTCTCATCTCCTCTTCCCTCTCCCCACTCCTCCCCCCACCCTTTTCACAGTTGCTGGAATCAGCGGATCTGACGGAGACAGCGGAGGTGGCGTGGCACGCTCTCCTTGCCTCTTGCCCCATCACTTCTTCTCCTACACTCTTCCTCCCTTCCCCTCACAGCTGCTGGAGGCAGCAGACCTGACGGAGACAGCGGAGGTGGCGTGGCACGCTCTCCTTGCCTCTTGCCCCATCACTTCTTCTCCTACACTCTTCCTCCCTTCCCCTCACAGCTGCTGGAGGCAGCAGACCTGACGGAGACAGCGGAGGTGGCGTGGCACGCTCTCCTTGCCTCTTTCCCCATCACTTCTTCTCCTACACTCTTCCTCCCTTCCCCTCACAGCTGCTGGAGGCAGCAGACCTGACGGAGACAGCGGAGGTGGCGTGGCACAAGCCGCTGGACCCCAGCTATTTCTCGCTCTCGCAGTTCAAGCTCACCCGCCTCGGCCGCTTCCTCACCACCACCCTCGTGCGCTCTCCTTGCCCATGCGTGCATTAAGAATCTGTCCTTTCGCCTCTTGTCTACCTTGCCTTCCTCGTGCATCACCTTCCACTTCCTCACACCATCTTCTTGCTATGCCTCTTCCGATCCCACCTACTCAGTCAGTCTTCATTCCTTTGCCCCATGTTTGACATGCACTTTCCTGCCCACCAACGCACCCACCACTCGTGCTCTGCCCATGACACCACTTCCTCTTATCCTCGCCCCTCTCTCTCTCTCTCTCTCTCTCTCTCTCTCTCTCTCTCTCTCTCTCTCTCTCTCTCTTTCTCTCTCTCTCTTTCTCTCTCTCTCTCTCTCTCTCTCCCTCTCTCTCTCTCTCTCTCACTCACACTCTCACTCTCTCACTCTCACTCTCACTCTCACTCTCACTCTCACTCTCACTCTCACTCTCACTTCCGTCCCCTTCCCATGCTCATGTTGGTCCGTGAAACCATTCCTCCCTCCAATACCATCACTTCTTCCAGCCTACTTTCCCGTCGCTATCTGTCCCTTCCTCACTCCCCTGTCCCGTTTCTTCCATGTCCGCCCGCCCCTGTCGTACCCTCACCTGTGGTCCCTGGCCAATCAGGTGCAAGTGCTGGAGAGGCTGCGGATTGCGCCAGCTGGCAGCTACCGTGTGCAGAAGTTTCTGGAGAGAGGGGCCGATGCCCTCGTGGAGGGCGGCAAGTGAGTGGCTTTGATTGTCTGACACATTACTCAAAAGCATGTCTCTTTCTGACATTCTCTTCATCCGTGGCTTTAACTTCCTCCTCCCCTCGCCCCCACCCTTTCCCCTCAAAATCACCCTTTCTCCTCCTGCTAGTTTCTCCTCGCCCCCACCCTTTCCCGTTCATCGTTTTCCCAAGCCCTAACTGTATGCCTTGCTGCTCAAACGTCTTGTGTGCAGGAGAGAGATTTTCACACCCATGTATTTCTTCCTTGCTCGCAAGCCTCTGTAGCATTCTGGAGGTCGTAGTGAGTAACAATCTCAATGTAACCTTTTTATTATTTGTGAGCACCTCCAAAATAGTTGTAATGCTTGTTGCAAAAATCAATAGACCCATTAGGTAACAAACTACTCGAGAATAATGTGAATAATGCAGGAGCTAGTCTCCAATGGCATGGACCGTATGCTCTTTATGCGGAAAAAAAAACAGTCACCATCTGATATCCTGTCTCACTGTTTCTAACCAATTGTGACTCTAGCACCGCGCGGTGTAATTGTCGAATGATATTCAATCGAGATCAAAAAGAGGGGCAGAGAAAGCACTATGGAGGGGGGCCGGCCAACCTGGCGTAGTTTTCGCCAGCCTGGGACGCGCAGTTTCCGCAGATGCTTCTGCTTTCCTCTCGTCGTTCAGAGTTTTCGCTCGAAGCTACCTAAGGAATTTGTTTTTGTAGTCTCCTTTCTACTCGTTTTTGTTGTTTATGTGTCGACGAACAACCCCGAATTCGAACACATCCTTTCGTTTCTTCACAAACTGCTGCTCCACATGAAAGATAAGCTTGTTCCTGGCTTATCTTTGATTTCCAGGAACAATGGTTCGTCGCAGTTTGTTCTGCCCGCGGTGCCGCCGCCGTAGGCGCGACACGCTGAGTCATCACCTGCATCCACGCTGGCGAGCCGCCATCAGATGAAACCTGTAATTCGGACCTTGTACTTGCCTGGCTGGAATACTGTATACGAGACCATGTGCTTGTTGAATGTCGTGCGCGCGTATTCGTACATAATCAGAAACATTTACGAGGGGAGGTCATTACTCCAACAATCCTGGTGAAATTGAGTCTCCCCGCCATCTCTCATTCGTCATTTGCCTTCCTTTCCGCCAACAGCGCACCATATCGGTACTATTCGTCGCGAAGCTTTGTTTCTTGACGCGACTCGGCAAGCTGAAACATGGCGCCGTGGGTTGCGCTCGCGCTCGTGGGGCTCCTGCTGGGAGCCACTAATCTCCGAGCGGCTCGAGGAGAGTCGTTTAACTACGACCTCTCGGGCACGGACTGGCCGGTATGTGTTACGCTGCGCTTCTCAATGTCATCGAATCACTCTGCTCTATGTATTGTCTTTCTTTATACGTTGTTTTTTAAAAGAAAATAGCATTTTTTTTTATGTCACGCTTTCACACCGAACCCGAAGGCTCTGCCGCCTGTCTGGCTCAACATAGTCTCGTTGTCACATCGTTGCATCGGCATAGTCACAATGTCACAATGTTGTGTCAACATAGTAACATCCGACAGTGCATGCTCTTCCACATAGTGATGCTTTTTCTTGAACCTGCCCCCTCATACGGTCACATTCCTCCTCCTGCCTGCCGTCGTCCGTGCAGGGTCTGTGCCAGACGGGCAAGAAGCAGAGCCCCATCAATATAGTCACATCCGCAGTGAAGCGCGCCGATGGTCCCTCGCTGCTGAAAGTGAAGCACCCTCTGAGCCGCGAGATCACCGTCACCAACGAGGAGCACGCCGCTGGTAATACGATTAGCTGTGTGTACGCCTGTACGCGTTATAAGTAAGCCACGGGCTACCACTGAGCCGCTGCTTAAAGTGAAGCACCCGTTGAACCGCGAGATCACCGTCACCAACGAGGAGCACTCTGCTGGCAGGACAGCCAGCTGCCTGTACGCGTTATAAGCCGTATGCCACTGTTGAGTTTCGGATTGTCCCTCCTATGAGGCTGCCTGCCAGAGGCAACTGACGAGTCTGAAAAGACGGGTGTGAAAAGACGAGCGTGTGAAAAGACGAGCGTGTGAAACGTCTCCTAGCGGCTTCAAGTGAAGCACTGACAAGAGACACACGCCTCTGTGGCAAGAAACTGGCCGCCTCGTCCCGAATCGATTCCCTTTCTATCTCCCAAAGGGTTCGAGAAGTCTTTTGCGTCGACTCAAAGCCGTGACCAAGGGTGTCCAAGGAAGGAACATCCTCCTCTTGCATTCTTGCCTGACGGTACGTGATCCCCCTTTTTCTCGTTGACTTCCCTCCTGTACCATCGCAAACCCTGCCTCACCCCTCTTTGCGAGGCAGAGTCAGCCAGCACCACCACTGTCTCTTCTGCCTCATCCCCTGCTCCCCCTCGTTTCTCATACCCAGCTGTATCGCCACAGACCGGCAAGCCCCACTACCTCCCCCTCCCCTCCACCTCTCTCAGGCTCTTTTCTCTTCCCCCCCCCCCCCCCCGCCCACCCACCCTCCGCCTCGTCCGGGTCTCATCTCCAGCGGTATCGCCACAGGCGGGCAAGCGGTACTTCTTGACTCTCCCCTCGGGGCTGCACAAGCTTGACCACTCCGACCTGCAGGTGCCGTGACGTGACGTGTGCTGCTGCTGCTGCTGCTGCCGCCGGGTACCTCTTCTCATGAGTTGGTCGTCTGTTGGGTGCTTCCTGTGATGCTCCTGTGATGCTCCTGTGATGCTCCTGTGATGCTCCTGTGATGCTCCTGTGATGCTCCTGTGATGGTTCGAGGCACTATGTGCTCTCGCAGGTGCATGCTGTTGCACGCCGGGCCGTCCGTCCCGCTGCCATGTAGTCGCTTGGCCAGCCAATGCCCTCCGCCCCTCCTCATTCGCCCGTGCGCGCAGGTGCCCAGCATCCACCTGGTGGACGGCGTGCAGGCGCCCATGGAGGCCAAGTTCGCGTATGTGAATGTGGCCGACACCACTCTCCCTGCCCCTCCGCTTCTTGCTCATATACCACCCTGGTGAAACTTGTTTTCGCAGGTGCCCAGCATCCACCTGGTGAACGGCGTGCAGGCGCCCATGGAGGCCAAGTTCGCGTATGTGAATGTGGCCAACACCACTCGCAAGTCCGTGTTCACTGTCTTCCTCAAGCTGCATCCCAAAGACAAGGACAACGCGTGGCTCGACCTGTAAGCACATGCAGTGTGAGGTGAGCGCACGTGTGCGCATATAAGCTCGTGAAAGGCCGTCGTCACCGCCCTCTCAAGCTGCACCCGCGCGACAAGGACAAGGCACGGCTCAACCTGTGATAAACCCCACTGTGCTGCGCCCATGGTGGCTCATTGAGCTGTCTCAAAAGGAGGTGACTTTTGAGTCACACTCAAAAGTCGACTCAAAAGTTCCCTAGGTGACTTATTGCGCGGGCTCAAAAGTTCCCTAGGTGATTTATTGCGCTGGCGCAAAAGTTCCCTAGGTGACTTATTGCGCTGGCTCAGAAGTCCCCTCGTTACACTGCCAGCCACACGGATGCCCACAGACCCCGCTGCCTCTGCCTTCACCTGCTTCCCTGATTCCCCCTTCCTCCCTGCCCGCCTTCCCCTCTCTCTCCCTCTCCCCTTCCCCCCAGCTGGTTGAATGACATCCCAGCAGCGGTGAACGGAACGGCCAAGCTAGCGGCAAAGACCAACTTCCTGGAGCTTCTTCCTCCCCTTACTCTCTATTCCTTCACCCCCTCCTGCTATCCAGCTGGCTGAACGACATCCCAGCAGCAGTGAACGGAACGGCCAAGATAGCGGCAAAGACCAACTTCCTGGAGCTGCTGTCGTTTGATTCGGCCTTCTGGTACTACGAGGGCTCCCAGGTGCACCCGCCCTGCACCGAGACGGTTGACTGGTTCGTCTCCATGCGCCCCAAGCTCGTCTCCACCCGCCAGGTGCGTGGCTGTTAGTTAGCGCCTCAACGGTCATCTCTCTGCCTGTTGTTGTTCCCTAAGCGCCGCCTTGAAGGTGCACGGTGCACCCGCCCTGCACTGAGACGGTCGATTGGTTCATCTCCATGTTTGTGTCCTCTCGCCAGGTGCGTGCTGCACGCTGCTGGGTGCTGGGTGCTGCGTGCTGGGTGCTGCGTGCTGGGTGCTGGGTGCTGCGTGCTGCGTGCTGCGTGCTGGGTGCTGCGTGCTGTGTGCTGCGTTCTGCGTGCTGGGTGCTGCGTGCTGCAGCAAGTCATAAGTCGTGAAGATGTGGAAGTTCAGAGGCGGCGATTTGCACTGATGGCACATTGCCACGTGCCATAACCTCTTCTCCACGCGTTCAAACGCAAGTTCCAAACGCATGTCCCTTCTTGTCCC